AGTATTGTTTACAGTTAAAATAATCAGTATTTTATATTCTATGTCTGCATGTTTTTGTATGACTACTTTTAGTAGCTAGGATGCAGCAATGAAGCTTTAAATTATCAAAAGTGACAAAAGATTTCTATTTCTGAATAAATGCTGTTTTTTTACTTTATATTCATCAGAGACTCCTGAAAAAAAAAATATATATATCAGTTTCCATATATATATATATATATATATATATATATATATATATATATATATATATATATATATATATATATATATATATATATAGTTTTTTTTATAAGGCAACATTTCTCATTTTCATTTAAAAATGAAGCACTAAAATAATTGAAACTAAATAAACTAAAACTTAATAAAAACTATATAGACATATTTTAAAAAAACAAATAAAAAAGACAAAAACACAACAAAATTACTAAAACGTCAAATACATTTTTATTTACAACAGAAAAAATAAAAATAAAATATAATTCAGAATATTTACACAAACGATATTAGTGTATGAATTATCAGGGTTGCAAAGAGACAGAACATTTTCAGTAAATTCTGGGAAAAATACGATAAGTTTTGGAAACGTTCCAGGATTTTTTTCAGAAAACGTTTCAGAAAATGGAAAATTTCCGGAAAATTTCTCCCCCTTTGCAACCCTATCAATGATAATAAAATAACATTGCTACTAATGGATTAATGGCGCTTACAGAATTTGCTTAATAATATAATATTTAATATTTTAAACAAATGCTGTTCTTTTGAACTTCTTTTGAAAATCCTAAATAAACATATTTTCACATAGAAATAGAAAACAGTTATTTTAAATTTGAACAATATTTCATAATATAAATGTTTAACTGTGTTTTTCATTAAAAAAAATTATATGACAGTATTATGGATAATGCTTTCTTTACTGTACCTGATGCTAAGACTCTGAGGGGCTTCACAGCACCACCCCAAGGTGCTCCCAGAGAGATGAAGCTCTTAATGTAGTGGTCTTTCCAGTGCTGAGTCTGCTGGTTGAGGAAGTACAGGATGTAGTTGCTGCCCATGCTGTGGCCCAGAAGGTAGACTGGTTGCTTGTACTCATCATGCATCTCCTCCACCAGGTTCTTCAAATGTGAAAAATACTCCTCCTGCTCATCTATACGGTACCAAACAGAAACATTCACATGTACTATTTTATTTTAGTGTGTGTGTGTGTGTGTGTGTGTGTGTATGTATAATTATATATATATATTAGTGCTGTCAAACGATTAATCATGATTAATCACATCCAAAATAAATGTTTTGGTTTGCATAATATATGTGTGTGTTCTGTGTATATTTATTATGCATGTATAAATACACACACATGCAGTATATATTTTGAAAATAGTTACATGTATTTACATATCTATATTTATATTATAAATAAATATATTTAATATATAAAAATAACATATTTCTCTGAAATATATACATGCATGTGTGTGTATTTATATATACATAATAAATATACACAGTACACATACATATATTATGTAAAAAAAAACTTTTATTTTGGATGTGATTAATCGCGATTAATCATTTGACAGCACTAATATATATA